AAAGTGAAGGTGGAAAGCAATGAAACACAGAAATAGTAAAAAGTGTTCTGAGGGTATTTGGTCAAAACACTCACGGTGTCCCCTTCAGCTCTACTCACCAGAAGCAGCTTGCAAGAGAAGACTGTGGTAAACTGGGTGCCCTAATACACAGCCTCGGACAGTGACTTTGATGGCCCAGCACTTACCTGTGATGTGTACAGCTAAAGTTACAAGAAGGAGAAAACAAGGTGATATAAGCATGGAGCCCTCCATCCTGGGAGCAGAGTACTAGGAAAGGTGCCAGAGCTACAATAGAAGATATCTGATAGGATAGCTAGAGCTGCAGAGGTGATGAAGGTCAATGTCAAAGAGAAGGACGGCAATGTTAGCACTTCCGACTGTGACATTCTGAAAGAACTGAGAGGAAGAAACTCGGACAGATGCTGCTGCAGTTCTCTGGACTAGACCTCAGCTAGAGAAATTCTATTTTAATAGGAGATTAGTGTGGCTTGGGGAAAGATAGATGACAATCTCATTTTGCTGTCACAGTGCTATTACTGAGTCCAAATAAGAGTTAAAATTATTATCAGACATTATGGGTAAAAATTAAAGATATTCAACCTATCTTTTCACTTCCTACCAGCAAATCTGTGCAAAGTGTTGCTGTCCAGGTCAAAAGTCTTTTCATTCATGTACTACAATTTACATTGCTACAGAGGGAGGTGGGATTTTGTTTGTTTGTTTGTTTGTTTTGCCAGTAATTTGCCTAATTAATGTCTTCTATTCATGTTGTATATAAAACTATATCAGAAATCACAAAACTATTTTTTGCATTTTATAGATATACTTTAAACTGAATACCACACTTGATGGACATAAAAGAGAAAAAGGAAGGTTCTTGGTTTCAAAAGAATCAACATGCATGCAAATAATAAGCACAAGTTTCAGTTTAATTGTTACTCGTGGGAAGAATGAAAGGAATTGGATTTGGAAGGGGTACCTATGCTTTTTTTGTGTACTCAATATATTTTGCAACAAAAATCCAAATAATTAAATGGAAATAAATACAAGCAATGGTATTTCTTTGCCTCACTCTGAAGGATCAACCTTGGACAATACTTCGGTGTATATTTCATTTCATTTGGGACATTGTGTAAAGATGCTGCAGCCTAGAATACATTTAATTTGATACGTCATTTAAAGATGCTGCAGCCTAGAATTTATAGGGACAAACCAATTAAACAGTAAAAAGTCAATTAGAGAGATATTTAAATGGCGACTGTATGTGGAGTTATAAGGAATATGAGTTATTTGTATGATTTTGGAGTTTCTAGGAAAATTGCTTGCTCTCCTACTCTAGAGTCCCCAAGCTACATTTTAGGACAATTTCTAAGTCCCCATATAGATCATTAGCTCAAATTTTCAGTTCCCAATTCAGTATGTGAAATGAAAGAGTCAATCAGTAAGTGTTCCAACAAAGCCTTTTCTAAGTACTTTTATGCCAAACACTATATGTGCCAGACAGCTAATTAAGAGATAGGCCATGTCCTCCAAGAGCAGATTGTTATTATAATAAGATGATAATAGCTAACATTTATTGAGACCTTTAGTAATGCTTATGCTGGGTGCTAAGTATTTTATCTGCATGATCTCATTAAATCCTTAGGACATCCCTATGAGGGAGGTACCATTACCCCCAATATAAAGATGAAGAAGCAGAAGTTTCCAGAATAAATAACTGAGGGTTAGTTGGAGCTGAACAAAGATCAGAACCCAGGACTTACTGATTATAAAATCTGTATGCCTCATCACTAAGGTACATGGCAAAAATCAATGAAAAAGTTTCTATGGAAATCGTAAAGAAAAAATTACTAGCTCTAGCTATAGAACTTAATGATAGGTTCAAAGAAAATGATTGACTGGACAGAATTTTAAGAATAGATAGGTGCCAAAAAACATTTCAGAAAGAGACATGGTGATGTATGCCTGTAATCACAGTGGTGCATGCCTCCAGTATTAGCTATTCGAGAGGTTGAGGCAGGAGGATTGCAAATTCCAAGCCAGTTTACTGCTTCAAAAAGAAAAAGGGGCTGGAGATAAAACTCAGTGATAGAACACTCAGAGCACTTGCTTAGGATGTACCAGCCCCTGGGTTTAATCGTTAACACTGTCAAAAAAAAAAAAAAAAAGAATTCCAAAAAACTTTAACAGATGTATTAGATAGACAATATTATGTGTAAAGATGTGTAAATAGCTTTCTGTGTTTCAGTGATGCATGCATTTGGGTTCTTAAATAATATCAGCAAGATGCTTAGTTGTTACCAAGTCATTTACCTAAGACTCATTTACATGTAAAATGAGAGGCTTCAACTAGAGTACCCTAGGATTGTGATTCTACAGAACCAGAGGCGTGGGGTATAGCTCAGTGATGGAGTGCTTTCATGTGCAAGGTCCTGGGTTCAGAACAAAAAGTTTCCTGGTTCAGTGCTGGAAAAAAAAAAAGTAAATGGAAGTAGGTAACTTCTGATCTTGACAAGTTTGAAGTGATAGTTGAGAACATAGAGCACATGCACAGGAAAATAGATTGACATGTATACTTGTAACTTAAAAAGAAATATTACCAAAGAATAAAACAATAACAAAAAACCAGAAAAAGGAAAAAGAAAAGAACCTAAAGAAAAGATCAGGTCTGGTGTACTTAAATGGAAAACCCAAGATCACACACCATTAATAAGTAGGAGGAAGGTGAGTCTGGAGATCGAATAAGAAAAGGATAGAAATTCTCTCTTATGTAGAATTGTGTGTAAGAGGAAATTTTGTTTTTAGTTTTTCATTTAAAAATAACTGATTATCAAGAATACTGGTGCATTTCTCCTTACAGTCATATGATGAGCATTCCAATATTTATAACTATTTTGTGTGACTGCTTGAAATCTTTCCAGGTTATGTAAATTCTATAATTCCTTTAAATTTTATCAAGAGGGCGGTATTGGGAGGTTACTGAAAGGGTTATCAGAAATTAAACATAATTGCTGTTTGTATCACTATGGGAACCATATGTAAAGTATCACCAAGGTTACAAGTATAAACATCTATGACTCAAATTATTGCAAAACATTACCATATTTGGGTAAGGTTTTTAGAGGAACAGAGCAGCCAGTTAATCAAGCAACAACATTTACTGAGTACCCACTGTATATATTACACGGTGACACATTAGGTGTCACTGAGTAAAAATAAAAATATAATTGGAGGAAAAAGCCTAAAACCCAGGAATACATTGATGCAGCAGGTACTGTAAACTGAATGGATGGGATGGCAGAGAAATCATCTTCACTCAAATTTTATTTGGTGGAGCGTGCCTAGACTTTAAAGAGGGAGAAAGAAAATCTTGTAGTGGAAAGAATATGAGATATAGACTGAATTATTCCAATCCCAACTTGATCTCTTAGAAGTTTTGTAGCACTGGACAAATCATTTAGCCTCAGTTTTTCTTCTGTAAAATGGGTGTAATAATACAAATAAGTACCTTACTTCATGAAGTTACAATGAGAAATCAACAAAGCAATGACTTGTAAACTGTAAAAGAGTAAACATGGTATTGATTTATATCCAGTGAGGCCCTTGAACAGTGTGGTTTATTATCTTTCATGTCTTCTTCACAACATCTAACTTCAACAGGATACCTGCTTTTTCCTGCATGTGTCAGCATGCTTCCTCTTCCTGTTCTCTCTCCAAATGAACACTCAGAAAATTACTTAATAATAGTGTCTTGCACCTGAATAGTTATTTGAACTCTTTAAGGTATTCTTACATGTCAATTATATGCAGCTGTCAAATTCGTCCTGCTGGACATATTCCTGATAAAGTCATATCACGGTTCAAATGTTTTCAACAGCCTCTTATTTTCTACTGAATAAAGTCTTGACTTCCATCTAAAGCCTTGCTTCTTAAAGTGTGGTCTTAAGACCAGTAGCATTGGCCTAACCTGGAGCTTGTCAGGAATGCAGATTCTCCAGTCCCATCTCAACCCTATCAAATTAGCAACTTCACTTTAACAAATTTCCAGTTGATTCACATATATAGTTTTTTTTTGGTTTTTTTTTGTTTTTTTTAAATATTTATTTATTTATTTTAGTTTTCGGCAGACACAACATCTTTGTTTGTATGTGGTGCTGAGGATCGAACCCGGGCCGCACGCATGCCAGGCGAGCATGCTACCGCTTGAGCCACATCCCCAGCCCCCACATATATAGTTTTGACAACAACTTTATCCTCTTGTAAACTTGAAGCCTCAGTGGTAGTTGCCAAACTTAGCAAATAAAGGACAGCCAGTAAAATTTGAAATGATAATGGCTTAATATCTCTCAAGTGCTTCATGAAAAAATACTTGTAATTTAAAATATTAATTGTTTGTGTGCAAAATCTCTTAGGTGTCCTAAATATAATCTGGCAAGCCGATTCAGGAGGGTAGGCTCTATGTCTAACATTATATTGTATTTCCCTGCAATAGTACAATGTTTTCCCTAAGTGCTCAATGTTTGTTTAATGAATAGTTAGCTTCATTACGATTTCTGTTTTTTGTTTGTTTTCAACATTGTATATCCCCAGAGACTAACCCTGTGACGGGTACATAATAAAAGTCCAATAAGTATTTGTTGGATGAATAAATGAATATATCAAGAGCAATCTCACAATTATGGACTAGGTTGTGTGTGTGCATATTTTAATTAAAGCTGAGTATTTTTCCTATATTTAAACTGTTTTAAATTGGTTCAGCTTTTCACATTTCAGCTGGCAGAGTTCAGGCCTTGGTGGGAACATAATCAAAGGCTCAGAACGTACTCATCACAGACGGGGTCCATCTGGTCATCAGTTAGGAGAGAACCCTATACTCAGGATGCTGACAAGCCTGCAGCAGGCGGGTAGCAGACACCGCCCCCTCCCGGCGCCGCGCACGCGCACCGCACAGCCGAGCCATCCCTGAAGGCCGGGCGGGGGAGGCGGGGCTCTAGGGGCGCGTGCGCGGCAGCTTGGGCGACGGGCCCCTCCCTTGGCGGGGGCGCGCGGCGCGGAGGACCGCACGAAAAGGGGGAAGTCAGGTGGCCGCTGCCGCCGCCGCCACGGTTTGTCGCCAGAAGGAAGATGGCGGATCTGGAGGAGCAGTTGTCTGATGAGGAGAAGGTAAGAGCAGCGGGGGCGGCGGAGCCGATCCGGTGGAGCCAGCAGCACCGCGTCATATGGGCCCTGAGTCTGGCCTCCAGGGAAGGGCACTGGCTATACGCTCGGTGCCCTTCCTCCCGCCTGGTTGCGCCCGAGTGCCTGCCCCTGTCAGTCACCCGAGGCCCCGCGCGGGGGCAGGTCTCTTCCAGGCCTGCTAACTCCGCTCCTTGTAGGGTGTGTGTTCCGAAAATAGGAAGCGGGAGCGAGCGGACGGCCGCGGGCCTGCGCGGCGGGCGGGGGCGGGGGCGCGGGCGGCGGCCGCGGGGGACCCACTAAGGTCCCTGGCCGTGTGCTAGAGACTGGAGACCTTGGAGGGGCTGTGACCTGGCCCCGAGCGGCCCAAGGGCAGTACCCTGCCCAGCGGCCTGGCCTGGGAGTGTGGCCCGGCGAGGGGAAAAATCGCTTAGGAAGCAGACCTTCACTTCTGCCGCCTTATTCCCCTCCCCAAAAAGAAGTGCTTCCTTTCCTGATTCTCTAGGGTGTTTCCTTTCCCGTGGAGGTCTCTACCTTCCGTCCTTCCAAACACACACACGGCCGTCTTTTTTTTTTTTTTTTTTCTTTCTTCTTTTTTGGCTTTTGCTGTAAGCTTTGCAGTTCCCATGTTCCCTGGAAGGTAGTAGAGTTGTTCACATAGAGATCCCCCCACTCCCATATCTGTTTTCTGCCCAGGATGGCAGTTGTCCCCCTGGGGGCCGATTTGGTAGCAGCACCCGGTCTTGTAGGACTTCTAAAGAGAGGAGATGGTGCAACTCCTTTTACTGTGTGTTAGATGAAGTGACAGCATTGGAACCAGATAAACGATTCAAGTTCTAAGACATTTAAAATTAGAAATCTTATCACTGAAGTAGTTCTCTTTTATTTGCTGGTTTCCTTTGGCAACTTTGAAGGCTCCATACCCGGGAGGTGGGTAAGGTGGAAGGGAGGAATTCTGCAGATTTTGAATATTTCTTGGAAAGGACCTTGACTTTTTTTTTTTTTTAACTGAGAAGTAACTGACATGAATATATCATGATAGCTACAGTTTTGGAGATATCCAGACTCTTAATTTAACAGTGCTTCATTTTTTAAGATCTGAAACAGTAAAGTCATATAAGAAACATGTACAGTTATATTATGGTGTTTAGGAAATGCCAGTGTCGCTTAAGGAGATTTCAGTTAGAGCCCTCTGTTTTTATATTCTGTGTTCTTGCACCTGAATGTAAAGTTCTTTTTCCTTCCTGATGTGAGCGTGCGGAAGTCAACCTAATCTTCATTTTTGGAAGTCTTTTTTTTTTTTTCTCCCCGTTTTGTACTGTATAGTTCTCTGAAATCCAAAGACCAAATAGGTAGGTAGATCCCTATATCCTCCAAAGTCGCTTTGCAGTAAGCGACTTTTTTCTCTTTAGAAAGAGAGTGTCATTTTTTTCCCTAAGGTTCTTAAGTGGTTATTAGTATCTCAAGTATCTTGAAACCTGAGGTGAGTGTATTCAGCATGGTAGTTGATATAGACATGCCAGTGTGTTGAAAGGCCTAAAATAATTTTTTTTTCAAAATGAGATAGAAGATTATATATTATCTGGCACTCAGGACATTAAGCTTCATGAAGAGGTGTTGTGTTTGTCTACTAATATAATATTCTATGAGTAAATGAATGAAAAGTCTAAATTTAATTTTGATTTTTTTTAATTTGAAGTTTTGTAAGAATATAGATATTTTACAGAAGATTTTATCACTATTTTCTAATCTTAAAAACACTGACCAAAGTTTGGATTAAATTCAAGTAACCATTTAAGTGAAATTTTAACATTCTAGTCACTTTATATTTAGGTATTATTTTAATCTTTTGGGAGGAGGATGTTGGGTTTAGGATCAGAAATGGAGAGAGTTTAGAGACGATATTTTTGAACTAATACTTAAATTGTATTACACTTCATGATGTCTTATTTTTAATTTTCAAAAAATAAGCTTTTAGTACTTTTAAGCTTTTGAAATTTCCATTATAGATTGCAGATATAAGGAAAGAAGCTGTTAAGATGTGTGCTACAATCATGTGTATGCCTGGCTCAGTTAGACAGATACATTTGTTACTTAATTTTTTTAAAATCAGGTTTAAAACCTTTAAGTAATTCACCCAAGGACACCTAGCTAGGAAGTGGCAGAGATGGAATTTAAACGCAAATTTGTCTGAATCCAAATCTAAGGTTCTTGTTCTTATGCTTCCTTAAGCAAAATTGATTTTAGGACTCTTCTGGTTTTGTATGTTGGTTTTTAATTTGTTGACAGCTTATATTGTATTTTTTAATTTTTTTTAAGTTGTAGATGGACACAATACCTTTATTTTATTTATTTGTTTTTATGTGGTGCTAAGGATCGAACCCAGTACCTCATGCATGCTGTGCAAGCACTCTGAAACTGAGCTGCAACCCCAGCCTTCGACAGTGTATTTTGAAAAAGAAAAAAAGTTTTTCTTTTTTTATTTTTTAAATAAAAATTTTACACACCTGACATTAAATAGTGTTGGGTTAGTTTATTGTTAACACATTTAAGTGCTTTATGCTTCTGATATATTTTCATGTATGCCCTATGGTGGAAAGTATTTTAGGAATTAACCTAGAATTATAGCTTTGCTTTTACAACTTGTATGCAGATGCTTTTTGAGGATTACCACTATGAAACCAACAAACTGGATTAATAGGAAATAACTTTAACTGAAGAAGCACAATGAAGTTCTTTAAATTAATTAATTGTACTGTATCCCACAGATTTATTTTACATTGTAATGGAAACTCGAGGCGAAAAGCAATTCACGTTTTCCATTCCTGGGTCAGCCATATGGTATGCTAAAGCATTTTTGTGAATTGGAAATAACATGAAATTTTGGTGTAACACTCAAATGAAAAGAACCATTATCAGGCTAGGGCTATCAGTGGCAAAGCGCTTGCCTAATACATGTGAGGCACTGGGTTCGACCCTCAGCACAACATAACAATTAACAAATAAAATAAAGGCATTCTGTCCATCTACAACTACAAAAAATAAAAAAGAAAGAAAGAAAGAAAAGAACCATTACCAAACTTTCCAGAAGGAAGATAGTCATTGATGGGAAAAGCTCTTCCTTTTTTCTTCTTCTTCCTTTCCCCATCCCTTATCCCCCAAATAACCCACTCCTATAGATTCAACTATTATGCCTTTGGAAATGTGTCTCAGGTACTTAGCTCTAGCTCTAAGTCTTCTCCTGAGCACTGACATTTTAATCTGCTGACGTGTTTATAGGAGATGGTTAACTAGATATTTTCAAATGGAGCTACCTCAAAGTAAATTTATAATCTTCCTTCATTTTTCCTCTACTCAAAGGAAAGCAGAAATCTATCTTCTCCTGCTCATTTTTCTCTTTATTTCTATTGTTGCATTCATCTAGGACTTTAAACTTCAGCTTTGTTTTAACTTTTTGTTTTTCCTGTACTTTATAATCTGTATTTTGCCACTTCGTTGTAAAAAAAAAAAATGCCTTATACAAATTATTTCTTGCTTGGAAAGTTAATTCATTTGTGTTAATATTTGGTTTACTACCTATCAGTTGACCAGATTATTTGGTGACAATACTTCATTGTGCATACAGAATGGAAATTGATTGTACCTGTTATGTGACAATATGACAACAGTAAAGGAAGGAAAATAAAGGAACAAAAGAGGGGTTAGAAATGTGTCACAACTTTTGTTTCCTTTCTGTTATATTTGTTATTGTTAGGTTTTTAATTGCAGTTTCTAGACTAAACCCCTCAGCTACCTATATCTAATCTGTACTTTAATATATTGGTTCTCTACTCTCAAATTTTTAGTGAATAGATCCTCCATTCCTTTACCGGGAAGCCCAACTCTTTAAATAGTATTAATGGCTTTGTATTCCATTCTAATCTCAATTGTTCTGACATTTTCAATACATTCAGACATCTAAATACTGGTCCACTTGTAGCAGCTTGAATGAATTATGTCAGCCTCAGTCTCCTCTGAAATTCGAGGACATTATAATAGTAAATGCCTTCTCCATTTAACTGATTATCAGTAGTGCCTGGCATATTGGCAGCACACTGATAAGTGGTAGATGTTTTTCTCTGATCCTGGCTTCTCATCCCTTTTGGAGTATTGGTACTGCTCTCAGGTCTGTCTCCTTTTTTTGGAAAGATGAACATTTTACTCAACCCTCAAGATTTAGCTCAGATCACATGGCCTATTTAATCTCTCTTCTGAACTCTATAACACATCATTAATATTAAATACAGTTTTGCTTAATAGTTCTTTTTTCCCCTTTTCTCTTGGAATCCCTAAGTACAGAAATAATGTCATTTTTTTAGCATCTATCATTATTCAGCATGTGATAAAGTAGAACAGTTCAATGAGTAAATGAACATAGAAACCATGGATTCGCAGAATTAAGAGAAAATGCTGCAGTGACGCAGGCCTGTCTGTAATCCCAGCTGCTTGGGAGTCTGAGGCAAGATGATCATGAGTTCCAAGCCAGTCTCAGCAAAAGTGAGGCACTAAGCAACTCAGTGAGACCCTGTCTCTAAATAAAATACAAACGAGGGCTGTGGATGTGGCTCAGTGGTCCAGTGCCCCTGAGTTCAATCCCTGGTACCTCCCACCCCCCAAAAAAAGAGGGGGAGAGAGAGGCAATGGAGCTAAGTGTGGTGGCATATGCCTGTAATACCACCATCTCTGGAGGCTGGGGCAGGAGGATTGCAAGTTCAAAGCCAGCTTCAGCAACTTAGTGAGACCCTAAGTAATTTAGCAAGACTCTGTCTCAAAATTAAAAAAAAAAAAAAAAAAAGAGCAGGGGCTGAGGATGTAGCTCATTGGTAAAGCACTGAGTTCAATAACCCATTACCAAGAAGAAGAAGAGAGAGGATGGTAAATTTTATGAAAAAAAAAGTAGTAATGCATATAATGTCAGGTTTTCAAAGGAAAAATCTATTGTGCCTAAA